ACTTACACATGAAGACTGTGGGTAGAGTTATTAAACCCAGGCCCTATGGAAACAGCATGACATCAGTTCATTTAAAGGACCTCAGAACAGATCAGACCCTAACCGAGGATTATAATCTGAAAACTAAAAGTGCTGAGACAAAATGTCATCACCTCCAAAGTCTAGGTGGTCCTAGAAAGAGTTTTATCTTTAGAGACTGTTAAGGCTCTTGGTGCAGACCTGCAGTATTCCAGCCCAGCAACTCTTGTGAGGTCACAGAGCATGTAGATTTTCTTCACAGTAGTGTAGAACAAGTAAGATTATTGAAGAAGGTGAGTTTTATTATTTCTTTATTTATTTATTTATTATTGACATTTATATTCCGTAGCGTTTTACAATAATATAAGAATAGAAGATTTGAACAATAAATGAAACAATTACAAAAACTTACTGGAACAATAGGTTGAAGAGGCCCCTTCTCAAACAAGCTTACAATCTAGCAGAGGTAGGGTATAAAACACATTAGGACAGGAGATGGCAATTAAAACATGGTGTCAATGAAGCAGAGCTGGAAGAGAGAGTAGATTGCTGCCCTTTAGGAGAGAGCAGGGGGCAGGTATGTGAGGTAGAGCTTACTCTGGGAGGCCATACACTTTCCTGAAAAGATGGTTTTAAGGCACTTCTTAAGTGATTAAAGACTACTAAAGACTCTGATTGTGGTAGGCAGGCTATTCCAAAGAAAAGGAGATGATCGCAAGAAGTCCGGCAAGAGTGAGTTGGCTATACAGGTGTGAGTAGCGGAAGAAGAAAGTCATCAGCAAATTGGAGACACTGAGAAGGGGCATCCTATGATTAGTGAAGATATGAGGGGCTAGAATTGTTCAGTGCTTTATAGGTATGGATTAGTACTTTAAATTGACTCCTATAGGATACAGGAAGCCAATGACAGAGGGATGAGGTATGAGAGAAGCGACTGGACTGACAGAGGGATGAGGTGTGAGAGAAGCGACTGGAGAGTAAAATCAGAAAATCAACAGCATTCATTACAGACTGTAGTGGGACAATATGGCTTCTGGGAAGACCAATAAGATTAGGGTTACAATAATCCATGCAAGAGATTACTAGAGCATGAACAAGCTACTTAGTAGTGTCTTGTGTAAGAAAGGGGTGAATGTGGGCAATGTTTTTAGCGTGGAATTGACAGGATTTGTTAACAGACTGGATGTGAGGCTCAAAGGTGAGGCCAGAATCAAATATAATGCCAAGACAGTGCGCTTGCAAGGATGGGCTGATGTGGGTGCCACTAACTTGAAGGGAGACCGATAGAGGAGGATCTGTATTAGTAGAAGGAAAGACAAGAAGCTCAGTTTTAGAGAGATTGAGTTTCAGAAAGTGGAAGAACATCCAATCAGAGATAGAAGAAAAGCAAGCAGTGACACGTTGTAGGACGGCAGGGGTGTGGTCCTGGGAGCAGAGATATATCTGGGTGTCATCGACATACAGGTGGTAGTGGAATCCAAATGAGGTAATAAGTTTGCCAAGAGAGGCCGTATGAAAAAAAAAATAGAAGAGGAACAAGAACAGAGCCTTTGGGGACTATAACTGAGACAGGACAAAGGGAGGAGGTATCATTGGAAAATTAGATACTTAATGATGTAATGTAATGTGTTGGGAGAGATAGGAGGAAAACCATGAGAGATTAGTGTTAAAGAGATTGAGTGATTAAAGAGTTTGGAGACAGATAACATGGTCAACAGTGTCAAAGGCAGCAGAGAGGTCAAGAAGAATTAATATGGAGTAGTGGCCTGTGGATTTAGCTGTGATTAGGTCATTAGTAACTTTAATAAGAGCAGTCTCAGTAGAGTGGAGGAGGCGGAAGCCAGACTGAAGAGGGTAAAGAAGAGAGTTGGAATTGAGGAAGAGAGCCAGATGGGTAAAGACAAGCCTTTTCAAAAGCTTTGAGGAAAAAGTGAGCAGGCATATGGGACAATAGTTAGAAGGGGAGAATGGGTCAAGAGATGTTTTTTTTAGGATGGGTACAACAATAGCATGTTTAAGGGCAGCAGGGTCAACGCCAGAAGAGAGAGAGCAGTTGAAGATATGTGTTAAGGAATGTACAAGACAAGAGAGAGAGATCTGATAAGGTGAGATGGGACAGGCTCAAGCAGGCAAGTGGTAGGGCGAGAGGAAAGGAGATACACAGCCACTTCTTGTTCAGTAGCCTGGGTGAAAGTCTGAAGGGCAGGAAAAGCAAGATTTAGGTGTGGTTGAGAAAGAGAGGGGCAAGGTGGGGAGAATTCTTTCCTTAGCTGTTTAATCTTGTTGGTAAAATAACATGCAAAGTTTTCGGCTGTAAGATTAGTTTGGGGGTGGCCACAGCAGGATGAAGAAGAGAGTTAAAGGTATAAAAGAAATGCCTGAGATTGTGGGAACATGAACTAATGAAAGAGGAAAAGTATGACTGTTTGTCATGGGCAAAGGCTGCGCTGTATGAACGCAAGTTAAATTTATAATGGAGAAAGTCTGAGTGGGTGCGACACTTCCTACAGCAATGTTCTGCAGAACGTAAGCATCTCTGCAGGTAGTGTGTTGTTTTAGTATGCCACGGTTGGGGGCATGTTTGGAGCAGGACTACAGCATCCAGGGCAGAGGTGAGGGTAGTGTGTGGCGGACCACCAGTATATCGCTGCCACAGATTCCCATTCCCAAAATAACATAGCTCCAACAATAATCAAAATAAGTATCACTGGTATCGCCTTTCCCACCATACATTAGTCGAGACTGTATGCTGGGAGTATATCTGTTTAATGTAGGCAAGCACTCTCAATTTATACATACAGTAAACTCCTCCCCTGTGCCTGAGAAATAATTGAGTCAGGAAACTTACAACTCAATAATCTCCCAGGTACAGAAAAATATAAAAATAATTTAAACCCACAAATTCCATGGAAAGCCCTGATTTAAGTGCCTATCATATCCAAAAAGCACTCAGATCGGTTCAGTTTGGATTTTCCATCAAGGTACAATTTTGACCAGCCGCCCACGAGAAGCCCAAAACAGTTCCAGGGAAATTGTGGCAATGGCCAATCTCAGTTCGAGGATTTTTATACAAAAACCACACATAGTATGCGAATGCATTTAGGTGTCGAATGCTCTCCCCCTTCAGAAGTTTATATCTCCCGAATGCTGTTCATACAGGTGGTCAGGAACTGCCTAGCCAAAATATGTTCCAGGCCCTCAACGACCAGGTACCGCTGCCTGCATTGGTAGACAACATGGCCACTATCCATTCTGTCAACCACGTGCATTCGGTACACAAAATGGCGGCTTTTAGTCATAGTTTCTGTTGGGTTTTAGCACTGGATACTTTGTATTCCATGTTCTAATTAGATCGTATAAACAAATGAACAGGGGAAAACAATTACAACTGAACCAAGTGATGGGGCATTTCTTCACAGTGTTTTATGAGGAAATAGAGAGTGAGGGAAAGGAAAAGTTAGGAGAGGAGATGGAAGTAAAGTGGAAGCAATGAAGATGGTGTCAGCAGGGACAGTTGAGCAGAAGGATAGAGAGATGAGTGATGAGAGAAGTTAGAGTGAAAAATAGAAGGGAGAACATTATTAAGAGAATACGTGTTATGTTTTATAGATATGAAGATATGAAGATTATTTATATAAAATCTTCATATCTTCATATCTGTAAAACATAACATATTCTCTTAATATAATCATATATATAATCACACACATATATATATATATATATATATATATATATATATATCATATATACTAGATTGATATAAAGACTCTCACTCTCAGTCAGTTGATTTTGTACAGTGAATACAGTGCTGTCTATGACCTCACTTTGTGAATGGCAGTTGGTGAATACAGTGCTCTCTATTACCTCACTCTGTGAATGGAAGTTGGTGAATACAGTGATCTTTGTGGTATCACTCTGTGAATGGCAGTTCATAAATATAGCGCTCTCTGTGGTCTCACTCTGTGAAGGCAGTTGGTGAATACAGCACTCTGTGTGGTATCACTCTGTGAATGGCAGTTCATAAATATAGCGCTCTCTGTGGTCTCACTCTGTGAAGGCAGTTGGTGAATACAGCGCTCTGTGTGGTATCACTCTGTGAATGGCAGTTCATGAATATAGCACTCTCTGTCATCTCACTCTGTGAAGGCAGTTGGTGAATACAGCGCTCTGTGTGACCTGACTCTGTGAAAGTCAGTTGGTGAACAGTGCTCTCTGTGAAGGTAGTTGGTGAATACAACGCTCTCTCTGTGTTCTCTATGACCTGACTGAGTTGATGAGACTGCCGTGTTATGTTTTATAGATATGAAGATATGAAGATTATATATATATACATATATATGTAACGGATCACCTGGCACCCCGACTGGGTACTTCCGTTGATGGATGCTCCTAGTGCTTCCCGAGGGCTCCAAGCACTTCACTTAACACCGAAAGCACTGCAGAGCCCAAGAACCGCCGCAGCTTGGTTGGGGTCTCGCCGTCTCCTACTCACCCTGGACCTATGACAAAGCTCCAGTTTCCAGTGGGTGAACCTCTCTTTCCCCAGAGAGTGAAGCAGGAACAGGAACAAGCTCTTAGAAGAGTTTAGTGATTATAGCAAGGGAGTATGAAGAGCATAGCAATCCCTTGTAGCAGATTCCCCCCAAAAAGAGACAGGACTCTAGATTGAGGGTGAAGTAGAACTGATTTAATGAGCACAAATGCATTTCTTATATACAGTTTTCCCCACAAGGTTACCAACATATCCCCATAATTATACATCCCTGGATAGCTCTGATCTGGGTGAACAACATATCCAAAAATCACCCAGATCAGAGCAGTGGTTTCTGAATTCTATGGAAGTCACATTTGACTGACCGCAAGCATGGCTTTCATGCTC